GTCTGCCACACCGTCAGTGCCGGCGCAGAACCACCATGGAGTGCTACTTCCGGTTGAGGACACCGGGCCATCTGTGGCTTGCCCCTGCTGTGGCTTGTACTTCAAAGGCCACGCAGCTGTGAAGATTCACGCTAAGCGGAAGCATCCTGACATTGACTTGAGCGTTGCGCAGTCCTTTCATAAGGTTTTGCACGGAGTCGATGGCATGCCAACCTGTGCGCAATGTGGAGCGCTCTTTCAGTCTTGGCAGTCCCTGGCTCAACATGTTCAGGACGGGCACTGTCATGGTCCGCGAATGACTTGTCTATCTGCTTCCCTGCCTGACAGGAAGAATGTGCCGCTGATTCACATGCCAGAAATAGTGAGCCTTGCTCAAACTGAGGGGTGGAGAGGTCTTGTGAGCAATGCAACTGTTCGGTGTGCTGCAATGCATTTCTGTCCCCTGTGCAACCAATGGTGCGTGAATGCGATGGGGATCAAAGTCCATCTGCAGGACCAACACCCTGAGTGGCAGCAGGTCCACATGCAGCTAATGACGATGGGGAAACTCCTTAAGCGTAGCATTGTCAAACCATGTAGGTTCTGTGGACTCAAATCCTTTGACAAGGCCAGACATGCTGGCAGGTGTCCTGTTGTAGTTGCGAGCATTTTGCTTGAGTACGTAGTCAGACATGGCTGGAGCAACAGCAGCGGAGATGGATGCCTTCTTCCGGGGCCTTGCGGGAAGCGGTCAGATGCACCAAGCAATGGAACAAGAAGGGGAGTTTCAGCCTGCGAAGCGGCGCCGAGAGGATGCGTCGAAGTCCGGGAAGAAGGGATGGGGCAAAGGCAAGGGCCAAAAGGGACGTCCGCCTGCCACGCCAATGCAGAATCAGCATCAGGGCAAGCTTCAACCAACAGAACGAGATCTCCTCATGTGCCTGGCGAAACTCTCCCTTCCACACGAAGACCAGCTGTCCACGCAGAAGCAAGACACGTCGCTGCACCTCTGGCTTCAGTCGGGGGGTCCGGAGACCATCATGCCTCAGATGTGGGCAGCCAGCAAGGAGTGGAAGCGGCTGAAGGACAACCACCCTCAGCAGCTGAATGCTTCCTTGCGTGCCACAATGCTAGTCTGCCTCATCCGAGCAGTTCGGATGAGAGTTCAAGAGGTCATGGCGGACGAGCAGAAGGTCAAGGAGGCCCAGGAGAAAGAGGTCCTGAATGGGGACAAGGATTGGCTGTACCAGATCTGGGATCCGGACACGGAGGCCACGACCAAGAGGGGAATCCTCAAGCATGCCGATCTCCTCCAAACCTTGGACAGCATCGAAAGAGCCAATTCGGCGCCGTGTCTGCACCGTTTCCATGCCAGGCCACTGGTGCAGCAGCACCAGGCGGAACATGTTCACTTCGAGATCGAAGTGGGACATCGGGGCCCAGAGGCTCAGGCAATGTACCAAGGACTGGTCGCTCTGTGCCATTGCTCAGCATTGACACTCGTGGGTGCGAGGCTACGCAAGGATCGGCCGCAACGGTCCATGTTGGCCCAGAGGGTTCAGCAGATGCTACAGTGATAGCTGGTGATCCGACGCTGCTTCCGGCTGTGGTGGGGAATGCATGCGCTCAGGCTGACATCCTCACATGTGTTTTCTCGCATGAGCGTACGCACACCTGTGCCTCTGCGTGGCTGCAGGGCATGCTTTGGGTCTATGCCGTTCTTCAAAGGCCGCTGCCGCAATCCCTGTCCAGGGTTTGGCAACATGCAAGTCTGCACAGACTGACAGGTCATGGGCTTTTGCTTATGCGTGAATGGCAACTGCTATTGGGGGAGTGGAGGCGATCCCCCTCGCATCATTATGCTGCATTCTTGTTATTGTTTCAGACTCATTTGACAGGCATCCATCTTTATGCCGGGGAATGGCAAATCCGTACTGCGTCTGGAGGTCGGGTAGCCCGATCAAGTTCTCGCAGCACCTCACATGGCTTGTGTGTTAGGGTCCCCCTGGAACAGTTGAGCTCTTTGCAGGAGTGTGTAGAGGCTTGGCATTATCGCTCTGAGTGTGCTGCCCTTGCACAAGCGCCTTGGGTGCTTGGCCTGTACCTGCTTCCTCAGCCTGCTGAAGGGGGTGCTAATTGCAAGGCGCTCTCTGAAACAGCCGCTCATGCCTCTAAGTATGGGGTTGACTGGAGCGCTAAATGTTTTCACATGCCTCTCTTCAAGGGATCTGATACGATAGACGTACAGTATGTGACGTACCGCATCGTGGCTGTTGGCCTGCATTTTGGCACCCTCAAGTCTGGGCACTTCCGTGCCCTTCTCTGTGATGGAGAAGATATGTGGCTGACGTGCGAAAATGGTGTTGCAAGTCAGTGCCAGCTCACGGCTGGGCACATGTGGCACACACGTTTCTTGTGGTGTCTTCGTATGTCCTGACAAGTTCATGCAAGCGTGCGCCTAAACTGGCTGAGGATGTCTTCACATAACGTGTATGGAATGATGAGATAAAATGAGCTGAGGAGGGGTCTCACTTCACTTTGCCTTCACTGTAGTTCTGTAGACCCGCTCTATCATGTGTGAGAAGGAACATGTATAGCTCTTCTTTTGGTGTCACTGACGGTCCACGGACCTGGTGAAGCCTACTGGATAGGCCGGTGACCAGTTTCACTGTATACCAATTGCTCGCTAGGCAGTTTACGGATGACTGCTGCGTCTCAAAGTCAGGAGTCAAAAAACCGTCAAAGGTTTACGGGTCATGCAGGATTCAGAGATTGAAGCTCAAGGTTCAAAAATTCGTCCAGGGTTTTGGCCAGATGCCGCTATAAATCGGAAATTGCAGCTTCAAAGAATGTAGGACGCTGATGGCAACTCCCCTGCTGTCAAGACTCCCCACTTAAAAAGTCAGAAATTATCCCAGAAAGCCTGAAACAACCCACAAAACTCTTGTTATTCCTAGAATAAAGACTCTTATACAACCTTTACAGGAACCTATGAAACCAGTTTAGAACAATGAAAGCAACAATAAACCATCATAAAAACCCACCAACAAGATAAGGCAAAAGAAACACCCCTGTTGGAGTCCCGTCCTAAACACGCTGAACCTAAACCAGAGTCAGGGTTTAGGGTTTAGGTTTCAGGGCTTAGGGTCCAGATTTTGGGGTGTTCTGGGGCTTCAGGGTTTTAGAGTTTCAGGTTTCTAAGCGGCCAAGTGTCAGCTGCTTCTGCGTTCGCTGGCGTTTTGGTGCTGGGCGAAGATCCCTTGAAGATCCGGACGGCCGCGGGGCACTGGGGGTACCTGGTCAGTCACGAGCGAAGCCAGGGTGTTGGGTTTAGGGTTTAGGGTGTTGGGGTTTTGGGGTTTTGGGATTTAGGGGCCCGTTAAGAAGGGTTCCAAGGAACCCTTTAGGAGCCCTTCAAGAAAACCGTGATGGAGCCTTGAAGGGCGCCATTAGTAGCTTCCTCTAAGCGTTCCTTCTTTATGGCTTCCTTTGACAGGCCGGCGGTCTCTTTATCGGTTCCTAATACTACCTAATATAGCCCTGCGAACATTCTCCTGCCGGTCTTCGCAAATTTTAGGCTCTTTAGTATACCGATGCAGATCCGAGCAAGGAAAAGGTCCTGAGTGCTTGGATGCCTGCTAGGCCAGCCTGCCTGAGTTTGTGAGGCCTGCGTAAGCAAACGTAGGTTATCAGCCGTAGCTCTAGTGAGTGGAGCTATGGAGGCTGGTATGAGGCGCAGAAGAGCCACCAGTGCGGGCCCAGCAGAGACAAGGCCCAACCCGTTCTGGAGCGAGAGAGCTCAGGACACCTTTAGTTTGCAGCGAGCAAGGCCAAGAGACCTTCCACAGTTAGAAACCGCTGAGGGAGGAGAACGGCCTGATCTAGGAACTGCAGAGGCCAGACCACGAGACCTACCACGGATAGCAGACGCGGAGGTTGTGGCAAGGCCAAGCGCAGGAGCAGTGATGGGAGCATCTGAGACGACCCGCGGTGCAGTGGGCTTGGAAGATGGTCGCGACGCTCGAGCCGTGACTGGACTGCCTAGCACTGGAGCAGAGGAAGACCATACAAGTTTGGGACAGGCCTCTGAACCACGTGCAGCTGCCCGCGAGGGCCAGCCGTCTCTGGAAGATGTGACGTTGCTGTTACAAAGGGCAGCCGAGATACCAATTTCGGATGAGTGGGCTTCAGAAGGAGGCAACACGAGCAGTGCGGCTCATGGTGAAAGTTCTGCAGATGGAACGCCTAGAGACACTGCACGCACGCCAGAGGAGCTCAGATGGTTGATCAGAGGTCTTTACGAGGGTATGCAGCGAACGTCCAATGACGTTCAAACGTTGTCAGCGCAGATGGTGAGTCTTCAGGGACAGGTTGCAGATCAAGTCATCGACATGAAAGGTCATCTTGCAGATCAAGTCATCGACATGAAAGGCCATCTTCGAGGTGAGCTGGGTGGCTTGACTGACCGACTGGAGACACTGGAGCGCAAACCATCTTCAGCTGGTTCAATGCACAGTGCCCTGGATCTGGCTGGAGTGGATCACCCAAGTGATCCTGGAGTGAGTCCGGGAACAAACGCTGGAAGCCTCAACCCTGCATCGTTCGGCGTTTTGAGTACGCAAGGCTCTGCCGCCGCTCGTGAGGGCTGGCCGAGTGAACAGCTAGGCACCGTCAGCAGTTCGCCGGATGTGTTCGCTCTAGGTGTACGGACTGCGAGTGTAGCCTGTGAGATGTATCAGAGGGAGGTGCCACAGCCCCCAAAACAGATCCCTGAAACTAAGGGTCAAAGCAGCCAGGAAGGGGAAACCGGGATGCATGGGATGTCGGGAGCTGTGCCGGAGAAAGAGTTGTGTATGGAATGTGGAGCTCCACGGGTGAACTTGTCATTCTGGATCCACAAGGGAACAGTCTAGATCCCCGTCCACCAACTCCGCCGCCTAGACCGCCGACCAGCACGCCGCCGCCCACGCCCCCAAAGTATCCGCCTCCTGTTGAACCACCCGCCCCGAATCCGGTGCAGCATGACACGAGGGCATGTCCAGGTGCCAGATTGTTCCATTTTGCTTTCGGCCTTGGACAATGCTGGAAAAACCCTGCTGAGCAAGAACCCTCAGGTTGCATTTCGATGCTCGGTGTATCGCAACGCGAACAATCTTGATCGCTGTCCAACTCTTGTTGGGGTTGAAGAGTATGCAAAGCAGATGCTTGCTGAGTTTGAGGACTTGTCTGTGAACGTTGATGCTAACCCTGAAAGCCCGAAACGCCCCAAGGTTGCCAAGGTTGGTGATGATGCCAGTGGCAGGGAGGACAAGGGAGGAAAGGGTGGCAGGAAAGGCGGGAAAGATGAGTCCCCAGGCAAGGGGTCCAAACCATGTTGGGGATGGCCCAAAGCAGAAGGGTGCAAGAATGGCAACGCGTGCACGTTTAAGCATGATGCTGAAAAGAGTGGCTCTCATTGCTACAACTGTGGAGCAGAGGACCACTACAAGAACGCTTGTGTGAGGCCAGGAGGTGGCGCGCACAAAAGTGACACCCAGGAGGCCAGTCAGGGAGATAGCTCAAAAGGGGGTGGAAAAGGGGAGAAAGGGAAGGACAGGAAAGGGGGGAAGAAGGGAAATCCCCAGAAACCTCAGGTCAACAAAACAGTGATCGAGGAAGACGCCTCTCCTCCCTCAAACCCTGGAGGTGAGTCGAGTGCTCCCACTGCCCCTGCTGAGATTGTGGCTGATGTTTCGCAGCTACTGAAGAGCATGAAGCTAGCTGCCCTTGGGACTGGTAGGCCTGAGCAGTTTGACATCTCGGATGAGTGCGATTGTGAGACAGCTGACTACCCAACACTCAGGGACTTCACTAAGGAACCAAGTGAGTTCGGGGAGTATCGCGCTCCGCAAGGAGATGCCGGTGATGCTAGCGCCGAACCCTTGGTGCAGCCGAATGCTCCTGGTGTGAATGGGAGAGACAAGGACGCCGTTGATCTTCAGTCGCCAGGTGTACCGGGCGAGCCATCCATCAATGTGAAAGGGTTGTCAAGTTCAAGTGAGCGCACTTGCTTCGCTCTCGTTGATGGGGGTGCCACAAATGGATTGCGAAATGAAGCCTGGAAAGGTGAGGCTAAAACCCTCAGCCAGGTGAAAGTGTCGTTGGCCGTTGGTCACACCACATTGGGCATGACAGATGCTGGAGTTCTGGTGTCGCCTACGCCTACTCAAGTCATTCTTCCAATGCGCTACTTGCATGAGCTTGGGTATGGCATGAGTTGGAAGAAGGATGGGTACCGCATCTGGAAGGGTGGTGAAAGCCGCAAAGTGAAGTTAGAAGATGGGTGCCCCACCATCGCTGAGAAGCGTGCCCTGCAGTTGATGTGTGAGTTTGAGCAGCAGGCCAAAACTAAGGCCTTGCGTTTGCGGTCCTTGAAAGCCGTGTTGAATCAGGCCCCTGTTGAGAACCCTGTGGAGTGGTTGAGAGAGCGTGTGTCCCAGTGGAAGAAGGGAGCAGATCTGCCGGTGGAGGACTTGGTGAGATTCTTGCGTAGTTGGGCACCGGACATTCCTGAAGAAGTGGTGTTGTCGTCGGTTGCCGCGCTGGATCCTGAAGGCCTCAAGACTCCTTGGAACCGGAGGGCCAGAAGGTCGCATGCTCAAGGGAAGCTCTTGATCCACTTGTTCAGCGGTGTCCAAAAGGATACCAAGCAGGCGTGGGGTGGAAGCACGGTTCTGAGTGTTGAAAAGGAGGCAGGCCAAGACTTCCGAAAGCCAGGTGTGCTGGGATACTTGTATGCCTTAGCCGCTGGAGGAAAGGTTGATGGGATTGCTGGCGGTCCTCCGTGCAAAACATTTTCCAGGCTCAGGTCCGAAACCGATGAAGGCCCCAGACCTTTGAGGGAGGCAGGTGGAGCTGAACTATGGGGTAGGAGAGACCTGTGTGAGCGTGAGGCTGAGTGTGTGTTTGAAGACAACTGTTTGCTTGTGCAGACCGCGCTTGTCATGTTGGCACATGTCAGCAACGGAGAGGGTGTGTCAGATGAAAGCCGTGAGGGATCGGTCTTCGTGGGGTTGGAGCACCCAAGAGATCCTGATGAGTACCTTGGGGATGGGATTGCCAGGCCATCAGTGTGGAAGCTTCCCATGTGGCAGGCTCTTCAAAGAACCTTAGGGCTCAGAAAGGCGATGTTTGATCAAGGATCACTTGGTCATGAGGCGGTGAAACCCACGTGCGTTCTTACGGGCTCTTGGAAGTTATACTCCTTTCTCCATGGTAGGCATGTTCCTAAAGACCTTAGATGGCGGTTAGAGCGACCTGAATCGATTGAGGGTCGGATGAAACAGAGTCGCGCTTGGGCCAAGTGGGCCCCAGGCCTAGTTGACGCGATTCGTGAGGCGTTCCGATGTTGGTCGAAATCGCCGGTCGTCGAGAGGGAGCGTGAGAGTGAAGAGATTGCTGCTGTGAGAGCGTTGTCAAAGCAGAAGAAAGAAATGTGGCACAAGCATCTCATGAATGATCATGTTCCTTTTAGACGTGATTGTCCAGTTTGCGTTTCCAGTGCAGCGAGGTCTAAACCGCATAGACGTCAGAGCTGTCCCAAGACTCAGGTCCTTAGCATTGATGTTGCAGGCCCATTCGTTTCCGGAGTTGATCTGTTTAAGAATGCTAGCCAGACGTATGCGCTGGTAGCGTGCTTGACGGTTCCGGGGGGTGATGCGCAGGGAGACGGGGACACGAATGCTCATGATGCTAGCAAGTCGGATTTGGGACCGCTGCTTGAAGAGGAAGGTCTGGAAAGTCCGGGCCCAGATTGCAATCCCGAGGGAGATAAGGGTGACGAGGATGATATCAGCCGCCTCACTGTGAGAGACCTGTTTGGGGATGAAGAAGAAGAAGAAGCAGAGGCTGAGGATCAGCACGTTGCTGCTGCCCGTGAGGGCAAGCCGGAGGACGAAGCTGAGGGGATAGAGAGAGAAGAGGAGCCGAAAGAAGATGAGGGCTACCTTAAAGAACCCCTTGAGTCCCTTCCGGTTAGAACCCTGGAATTTGCCATTCCCATGAAAAGTCGCGAGCATGAAGAGGTCAGGTATCATCTCATGTCCTTAGTAGCTCGGTTGAAAGCGCTAGGGTTGCATGTTGCACGACTGCACAGTGACAGGGCGCGGGAGCTGATTTCACCGAAGCTGAAAACCTTTTTGTATGAGCAAGCCATTGATGTTTCACATACTAGTGGGGAGTCGCCGCAGCAAAACGGTAGAGCTGAGAGCGCTGTCGGCTGGGCGAAGTCTAGGGCCCGGGCACTGCTGCACGCAGCGGGGCTGGAGAGCAAGTACTGGCCGCTGGCCATGCGTCACGCTACAGAGCGAGACCTTAGAGAATGCAACTCGCTAGTATGGGAACGCCGCAACAATCTCTTCTTCCATGGGCTACAATTGTTCAAGCCAAGGTCCGTAGCTGGAAAGCGGCGGAAGCACCCGGAAGAAAACCAGTGTGGGCAGCCAAAACCAGTCGAGGGTCGGGCCCTTGGAGTTGCTCCAAGCACTAGTGACGGGTATGTCGTGTTACTCCCGGATGGGTCGTTGGTCGTCACTGGGACAGTGTTTCCGATGATTGAGCCAGGGAGTGATGCGCCGCCAAAGCCCAAACATAGGTTGAAAAACAAAACGCCCTTCGACCAAATCAGCCTGAGAAAAACTTGGGTGTCAGCTACCTACGGTGCAGGTAGGGGGGAGTCCCAGGAACAAAACGAAACTTCAATCGAAGCAGACTCTGATGCAGCAGACTTGCCGCATCAGCATGGGCATGCAGTGTGTCATGTGAGCCACCATGTCAGTCATGTTGTTTGCGGTGTGTGTGAGAGTCATGTGGAGCGCAGTCAGAGTACATGTCATGCTTGTGGGTTGAAACTTCCCCCCGCCAGTACCTCAAATAGGACCTTGGAGGATTTGGAGGTGGATGCCAAAGACTTGTTTGAGGAAGAGTGGGATGAACGGGTCGCCGTCGGGTTGGTGAAAGAGCTAGCCGAGGTTGGGCTCCCAGCCACAAGGTCTGATGGAAAGCGTGGTTCAAAAGAAGGCTCCTACGCAGTGATCGGTATGTTTGCCCACGGTGGAGTAGTAGGGATTACTAGCCTTACGAAACGTGCTCCCAATTTAGTGCGTCTTCTGACCTGGTATGTGAACCGTCATTTCCCTGGAGAGACATTCACATCCATCGTGCTGAGCCTTGGAGTGACTATGCCGATGCATCAGGACAAGTTCAACTTGGCAGGTTCCCAGAACTTGGTGTTGAGGCTCAGTGAAAAAAGGCCCGATGATGGAGCGTGGGTTGAGTGTAAGGACGGGGGAGAGCTGATTGGAAAAGAGTGGGACTTGAATGGGAGAAAAGGCCAAATCCTGGAAATCCCACCTGAAGGTTTGAAGCTCAACCCTAGGGTCCGGCATGCAACTTCTCCATTGGCGCCAAGAGAAGGTCGCAAACTGCTGGTTGGATACACTCTCACAGCGCATCACAAACTCAGTGAGGCACAAAGGAGCGAGCTGACTGACTTCGGGTTCGTGCTACCTGAACTCCAGAAGTGTTCCCTGAAGAGTGCGAGCGTGAGTGGTGTGAGTGAAGATGTGTCGGTGGAATTGCCTAAGCCACTGGTAGGAGAAGGGTTCTTTGAGGAAGTCGTGCAAAAGCATCGGAGACTGTCCCAAACCTTGTTGGAGTGGAAGAGAGACATCCTTGCAGTGGGAGCTGGGGAGGTGGATCAAACAGTCCTTCGGGTGTGTAGTGATATGATGCAGACGCTGGCAGAGCTAGAGGAGCTCGCATGTGTCCTGCAGCCCGAGCAGGAAAAAACCACCACTGGCCTGTTTCTCAAATCCCTTGGCGAGGTTACGTACTTGGATGGGGAGCTCCCGGATCCCTCAGAAGCCTTTCTTCAAACCCGGATTGTTTCCCAAAGTGAGGTTTTTGATGAGCTTGATCTTTGGTTGGAAGCCATTAAGAGCGAGTACCGGTCACTGACAGAAGAAAGTTGCGCCGTTGAGCCAACGACTGCGGAAGCAGTAGAGAAGCTTGTCAAAGATGGTCTTGTTGATCAAGTTCTTCCGGTTAAGCCCGTTATGGTGCGAAAGCAGGGCAGCGGAAAACGAAAGGTTCGTTTGTGTGTGGCTGGCAACTACGAGAAGAAGCTGGAGGCGTTGACGCCGTCACCGTTCGTTGCACCTTGAAGTTGAGCGCCGTGAATGGTTGGAAGAACGCGGTTGGGGATATCAAAGCAGCTTTTCTCAATGCGCCTATTCCCGAAACCCCCAATCAAAAGCTCATTGTGCGCAAACCTCCGACGTTGCTAGTTAGAGCTGGCCTTGTGAGTCCTGACGAGCGCTGGATAGTTAGAAAAGGGTTGTACGGACTGAGGCGTTCACCCAGATGGTGGGGAACACACCGTGACAGCACGTTGAGACAAGTCAAGTTGAAAGTTGGTTCCCAGGACGTTTGGTTGAAGCAAAGCCAGGCCGACCCCAACATGTGGTTGGTGTTTGCAGGAAAGCCGTGTCCGCAGAGTTGCGGCCCGCAAGGGCGCGCCGGTCATGAGGAAACGTTGTTGCATGATGGCACTCCTTGCGGTGTCCTTCTGTGCTATGTTGACGACATCCTTTTGACTGGCCCGGACCTGTTGGTCGACGCGCTGAAAGAGCACATCTCCTCGTTGTGGACCATGGGACGATGGGATGACGTAGTGCCTGGTGGTTCTGCTGTTTCGTACCTTGGGATGTCCATCAAGAAAGACATTGACGGTACCATCACGTTGAGTCAAGAGGACTATGTGAAAAGCGTGTGCGAAAAGTACGAAGTGACTGAAACCTTGCCAACTCCCACTCATGGGTGGACTGAGCCTTCCGATGAGGAGAGCCCTGAGTTGCAGGATGTTCGTGCTGCGCAGAAGGTCCTCGGTGCGCTCAACTGGTTGGTGTGTCGCACACGTCCGGACATTGCATTTGCTGTTCAACGGTTGAGCTCGTGCGCGTTGAAGGCCCCGAAGGCAGTGCTGAAGGGTTGCAATGTTGTGTTGGCCTACTTGCTTGGAACAGCTGACTTGGGTTTGAGTTACTCCGCCACTACTGAGACATGGGGTGTTGAAGGGCAGTTTCCTTTTCCTCAGTCTTTGGACGGTCTTAGGATCGAAACTGATGCGTCTCATGCGCCATGTGGGTCCAGAAGTCAGCAGTGCATGTTGGCGTTTTGGCATGGTTCCGTTGTGGCATGGGAGTGCTCAAGACAGGCGCTAACAGCCCTGTCCAGTGCGGAAGCTGAGCTGATCGCATGTCTGGCTGGTGTGCAAATCGGTGAGAGCGTTCTGCCGATTCTGGTCGACTTGCGTCAGTCTGAAGTGCAGCCATGTTTGGTCAGTGACAATGCTGCAGCCATCTCTCTCGTGAACAATGAAGGGGGCGCCTGGAGGACTCGGCACTTGAAGATGCGAGCCCAAGCTGCCCGAGAGCGCAGAGAGACTGGTGCTTGGTTGTTTGCCCACGTTGCTGGAAGGCACAATGCTGCAGACATAGGCACAAAGGTTCTTGCTGCTCCTAGGTTCCGTGAGTTGATCTCGTTGCTGGGAATGTTGCCAGCTACGTGCCAGATGTCCGTCAAAGCGGTTTCTGTGCAAGAAGTCGAACAATCCCAGAAGGCATCCTACGACGTCAGAGGCTTTACGCCTACCGAGCCTTTCTTGAAGGCCGTGAAATATTTTGAGATCATCAAGACGGGGATGCAGGGAGACGCGGAGCAGGACGAGCCCTCGAGATCTAGAGGTGATCCCTGGATGTTAGCGCTGATCTTGGTGGTTGTTGTCATGATGTGGGAGCTAGTCAAGTTTGCGTCTCAAAAGGCCGTAGTGAAGGTGAAGAAGCTGGTGAGAGCCTTAGTTGCTGAGCCGATGAAGAGATGCTCACGTTGACACGCCATCATGTTGTACCACGCAAGTTGATGTATGCGCCGTTGTTTGTGGATGCCCTAATTCCCGTCAGCAGAGTGCTAGGAACTAGAATCACCTTTGTCATGTTTGAAGACCACTCACAAACTAGAGTGAGGGACGACATGTCGAGCATCCCTCACCCAAAGGCTTCCTTGAAGAGGGCGTGGCGACGTCAAACTGTTTTCCTCTTGAGGCCCGCTGAGGTCTCACAAGACCACCCGCTCAGGAGAAGGAAACGTTAGAGGCTGCATTTTGACCTATCGCAGCCCGCGAGGGCATGCCGTTGAAAGATCCGGCATCTCCCTCTGAACACGTAGAGCCTTGAGTCAACATGAGTCAACCATGACTTGTTTAAGGACTCTGTAGTCCAAACCTTTGCTTTCAGAGCCCTGACAGTTTCGACAAGGCCGAAAGGGGGAGTGCGAACATTCTCCTGCCGGTCTCCGCAAATTTTAGGCTCTTTAGTATACCGATGCAGATCCGAGCAAGGAAAAGGTCCTGAGTGCTTGGATGCCTGCTAGGCCAGCCCCTAGCTCTGCCTGAGTTTGTGAGGCCTGCGTAAGCAAACGTAAGCCCCTATATAGTGTTTTAATAAGGACCCCTTTCTGCAGCCCCTTAAACCAGAAACCTCAAGTAAAGAGAGCAGCGACCTAGATTCCTTTAACACGGAACCCTGCAAGCAACCGTCTAAGGAGCCCTTCAAGGCGCCCCTACGGGGCACCTAATAGTCCCCTGCAACCCAAACCCAAAATCCTCAACCCTGGAGCTTGCACACCTAAACCCTACACCCGAAGGCCGAAAATCCAAAACTCCTAAACCCTAAACCCTGAATCCTAAACCCACACTAAGTCCGACACCCTTAATCCTAAGCCAAATTAGCAAAATGTGGCCTCCGCCAAGGCGGCGTCGCTTCGGCTCGGGGAACTCTCGAGGCGGGCGAGCTCCTGGCTCAACGCTGGCTTTCTCGGGTGTAGGGTTTTTAGGTTTTGGGGTTTTATGGTTTTCAGGATTTAGGGTTTGGGTTTTTAAGCTTCGGGTTTGGGGTTTTGGGGTCTAGTGTTTCTTGCAGAGCTTCTTGCGTTTGGGAAATCGAGGATCCTGCTATCTGACTGCCCTTTGGCTTGGAGCGTGGGCTGATCCCAGAAACTACAACAATGGGGAGGCATAAGGGTTAAAGCCCTAAACCCTGAAACCCGAAAACCCTCAACCCAAAGCCCTGAAAACCTGAAACCCCAAACCCTACAACCCGAAAGCCCTAAACCCCAGGCATCCTGACCGACTAAAGGCTTTAGTCAGGGCTTCTTGCGGCGAGCGCGAGGCCTGCAGAAGTCTCACATTACGGCTTAGGATTTAGCTTAGGGCTTCGGGGTTAGAGCCCTCGATCCCAGGCTGAGACCCTACAGGGCATCCCGAAACCCAAAAGGGTTTAGGGTTTAGGCTTTCGGATTCGGGGTCTAATCGCTCACGCTCGGACAAGCCAGGCGAGGCATTCGGGGGCTTAGGGTTTAGGGTTTCGGGCTTGGTGGGGGTTGCTGCCGCCTCCTTGAGTCCGGCGTCTTCGTTCTTGAGCTCCGCCAGCTCCTGCAAGATTATGGTATAGGGGCCTTGATAATTAGAATGGGATTTCGGGGTTTTGGGGGGTATATTATACTTACAGTGAGGAAACCCAAAATAAGGATACTATTGGGGCTTTACTGATTCGAAAGGGGGTTTGGGGTATTTTCTTTATGCGCATGTGTAATCGCACCCCCACCATACTATTGGTAATTATTTAAGACCCCATATCATTCCCAACACTTCTTCTTGTTTAAGCTGCTGATTGGTTTAGCGGTCTCATGATGACTATCACTGTCTGTGTCATTAGCTTAGCCCTGCATTCATTCTAAGATTTGGGTACGCCCGGTGTGGACTGAGTGCAGGAGCTGAAGGACGTTATGACCTTGGATGTGAAGCTTTTCTTGCGAGCTTGATAACCCAGAAACCCTAAGACACCTAAACCCCTAGCCTAAACCCCAAAACCTTAAAGCCGAACTGCCGAACCTTTCACTTGAAACCTCATCAATTACGGGATGTTGTCATTCCAGGAGTGGTTTGCTTAATCTGACCTATGCCCAAGAGATGTGGTTGCTGGCCCAGGACAGTCTCAAACGTCCCACGAACCAATTGTTAAAAGGCACTGCGGAGGTTGGTGCAAGTTCAAAATATCTGAGTGAGTTTGTCAAAAGCATGGTGCCTTTTGCATTAATTATTCAGTGCCGAACTAAAAAATAATTAAGGACACAAAAAGGGACTCTATTTTGACAACCACCTAGGTCCAAACTTCATCAATGCTTTGTCCTTTACATGTCGTTGACACTTCACACTGCAGAACCTGAATAAAATGAGGGCCTGCATAATCACAACAAGCTCTTGGCATATATACTATACTGATATTCGGCTGATATTCGGCTGATATTCGGGAGCCCTACAGAATCTACTATTCTAATCATCACGGCCCCTTTACTGAACCCCAAGAAAGGCAACGTTCACTTCTGCCTGTTCTGAGCCCTGCAACTGTGTCTTGAATGCGGGTTGAACAAGTGAAGACTCTAAATCCTAAACCCTAAACCCCAAAGCCTAACAATAAATCCTCTAAACTCTGAACTTGTAACCCTTAACCATGCGAGGGTGGTAAACTCCACGCAGATGACAATCCTTGCTACTGTCTGGCTTGAGAAGGCCGATCATTTGCTAAGCTGTTGTCCCTGAAGTTGCTGTGCAGGATCAAATTGTTGCACTTAGTACGATCCCTCACAGCAAGCCAGCAAGGCCGTGCAGTATCGTTCATGTTCAGACATTCCAGTTTTGCACACGCGCTGTAGTGGCCTCATGGCTGAAAGGTGCCTTTGCCACATTCGTACTGGGACTATGAGGGTGGGTAGATCGAATGCTGGATAGACCTATAAACCATTGAAACCAAAATTAGGGGGATCTTGCGGATCTTCTGCGCGCCTCGACAAGTCCACTGTCTTTGGCCTTGAGATCCTTGAGCTCCTCCCGGGCAGGCTGATGGGGTTTTAAGGCTTTGGAATTCGGGTTGGCGGTTTCGGCGAAACGGTTGAGAGCATAGGGTCTGGGGTATGGTATATAGATTTGGGGCTTGGGCTTGGGGGTTGAGGTTTGGGGTTTAAGTGTCAGAATTCAGGGCTGCGGGTTTTGCCGGCGAGGTCGGACGTGAAGAGGAGATTTCTTGCTGAGCTGCCTTGCCAATGCTGCCAAAAATTACATAGGGGTCTCAACAATCAGTGACAGTGTCCTCTTATAGTCTCTAGATATCTATACGGTAATCTATCCAAAAGTTCTATTCAAAGTATTTCGGCCCCCAGATTTGTCTGTGACCTGGGCGTGCTTGCTAGTATGGTATGTGGATGGCTGTGCAGAGACTGTGCGACCTCCCGGCGAGCCAGGAGGGAAATCAATCAACAGACCCGTTTTGCATGGGTCGATAGGTCAATGAACGCCGAAACTGTAACAGAACTGTGAGAGGCAGACAGAAGAAGCAACCGAGCCAGCACTTCATTCTCGAATTTAATCAACACCGGCTAACAAGAATGCTGAGCTGCTTAGCTGGTCGACTGCTGGAAGGACTGGTAGGGCCCAAAGGGGGACCGTTTAAGGTGTGGACTCCCTTGATATTCGTTCTGCCACTTGGTAGAGTCACTCTTGCTTGAATGCCCTTTGGCGGATTTTCTTGCTTCGTTGAGAGCCTTTTGGTGCAGTCGGGTTTCCGGTCAAGTCTCTTCGCCCGCTCCTCCTCAAGTTTCCCCATGGCCTTCAGCATGGATTCTTCAAAGCCTGGAGCGTGGCTTCACAAGTACCGTGCAGACTGCGAACAGAGATGCTGTCACATCGAGGTTCAGCATCGACCAGTATTTCTGGAGAGCCGCATGGTGCCATATACAGAATCTTAGCCTCTAAACTCTAAACACGACATCGAGCCCAGTCAAAGAAGCTCGTAAACTGGGTGGGTGATCTTGGGATCTCAGGTGCTAGGAAGGATTACAGCAAAAGCCAGAGTTGCAACAATACCATCCTGATGCCCTTCAGGTGGAGTATATAAAAACATATCGTATTCTAGTATGTATGTGCATTATATATATATACAGTATATATATATATATATACACATATACGTGTGTGTAGGTATACATATGTATATATGTATATATGTATATATGTATATATGTATATATGTATATATGTATATACATATATGTATATGTATATCCACCAGTTTCAGCACTAATAAACCCCAAGCCCAAGTTCCAACTTTCTGGTCTTCGCTTAGTGTTCCTCAGGTCCCTCCAACAAAAGTGTCCGCGCAAGACTCACGGGTTTCCAAGCTTAGGGCCAGCCCTGAAACTCGCAACCCCAAACTCTGAAAACTCTCCACCCTAAGCCCCAAACCCCCCAAAACCCAACCCTAAATTCTAAACCCCTGAACCCTAAGCCCCTCGTGCCGAAACTGACGAGATGCCCGTCTTCTCCAACGCCAGGCCCGCAGGCTTCGTCTGAAGGAGCCCGGTGCCCACCGCAGCTCCGGGAAGGGTCTCCTTGTTCGGGACTTCTGGGTTTCAGGCAGAACGAATGTTGAACAGCTAAATGAGAGCAGGGATTGGCCTTTGGGTTTTTACATAACTGACTGTGGCCACAAAATAACACGGTAGTGAAGGGTTTAGGGTTTCGGGCTTAGGGGTGAGCGGAACAGATTAGGACTAAGTAAACACGGTAAACCCCTCTATGCGAGGTGCCTCATTGTATGCCTCATCAATCCTATCAACGCAGGTGCTGCACGAGCAGGGCATAGAACTAGTTCGCAAATCCCAAAGGCTGCTTTGAGTAGATTATACAGTACCGTGGCAAGCACGATGTCATGCGTATTGGTTGTCATTGCTAAGCTTGGTCCCTGAAGCTTCAATGTCGGGAACCAAGTGTAAGTAGTTTAAGTAGGGCACAAGCACGTGCGACTGAAAACCTGCCCTTCTATTGAAGAACACGTCCCATCTATTGTGTCTCGTCACGTTTCGTCAGATCTTGTAGCTGAGAGAACCTGGATCTGAAATAGTATGAGACAGGTATCTGCTTGGGTTCTCTTCGGAACTTGTATAAATTTCTACAAGTTTAGGGTTGCAGGGTCCAGGGCCCAGGGCAGTCCAGGGCTTTAGAGTTTGAACATTTTGAAGCTTAGGGCTTTGGGGTTTTTAGGCCTTTAAGGCTTCACGGCTTTGTAGGGCTTCCGGGTTTGGGGCCTTAGCTTTGAATTGTCGCGGAGTGCGACAATTGTGATCACTCGGACATGTCTCTCCCTTCGCTTCTTCAGCTACATCCCCAGTAAGGGGACAACTGCTTATTTGAAACACTCACTCATCAGACTGCAAGTTTCGGGAAACACAACGCAACTGCACATTAGTTGAGGCTTTACAGTTGTGGGCCATCATGGCGTTTGGGGTTTTACGGCTTTGGGCTTTGAGGTTCGAAGCTTTCCTCATTGAGGAAGCCATCAGCTAGAGTCTGTCGGAATCTAGGCTTGTTCAACCCCCAAAGGCCTCGAAGACAGGATTCTTCTGTATGCATGCTGATTTGGTCCACTAGATGCGGGACACCCTGTCCTCCGGGCGCACGTTGCACTCCTGGGACACCGAAGATGTAACCAAGAGCGACAGAAGCGCCGCCTGCTTTCTGCGCGTGTTGAGCTTCTGTGGCGCTTTTCGGGTGCATGGTTCAGGGCTTAGACTTAAGCGTTTCGGGCGAAGGATTCAGGTTTGGGGTGTGTTTGGGGTTCATTAAAATGCTACGGCCTGCAGGACCGATTGAAAAAATTCAAAGCCATTGGCTGGAAGGTAACGGACTTCTTATGACGGCTTCGGTGCTTCATGAGGTTTTTAGAAAAGCTTTCGCAAAATGGGGCGGCTGCTTTTTGTATGGGAACTTGGGAGGATGTTCGTCCTGCTTACAAGCATTGTACCTGCAGCCGGAGCACGAAATGGATCCTGAAGATTCGAGCGGTTGCAAGGCCCCTCATAGGCCCAGTCTCACCTTCGTTAAGCTTCATGAGCTACTGAGCTGAAGCATGTACGAAGCCCGGGCTCTCCTTCGAGGTCAGTCGCCCTGAGCTCTGGGGTTTAGGGTTTAGGGTTTCGGGGATGTGGAACCCAGGAAATCGGACCACTGCGCAGGCGCGCCTTGAACATCACAAAAGGCAGCGAAGGTACGGCCATCACAGGATGGCAAACGCGGTAAAAGGTTCGGCAAAGTTGGCCGGGAAGGGCTGTCCGGAGCCAGGAGAGGACGGCGGGAGACTGGTAGGCTTTTGGGTTTTGGGCCCCAAAACCCTGAACGCTAAAGTCTCTCGGAGGCAACAGCACGGGGACTCGGACCGTGCATAGGAGTCTTCTGATGCAAAAAACTGCCACCGGGAGTAAACTTATTATAACATTTGTAGCAAGTTTAGCAGATTGTACTTAAGACAATAATAATAATAGTAAGAACTGCGACTTGCATCGATTGCCCAGACCCGCTGAGCGACAGCGATGGGGAAATCCGAGCAAGTACAAGTAGAATGACCGACTTGCGCCCCCAAATGCCCCCAAGCTCTTTCGGGCAGAGCAGCAACAGATCCAAGCCTGCAAACCGAACCCAAGAGCTTCCTGCACGCGGGGCAGCCAGTACCTTGAATGAACAAAAACAATAATGTTCTTCTGTTGCTAAATTATGCACTTCTAACACGAGTTTCTTTGCTTGTGCGAGGTTTTAGCGTCTGCTACGTTAGATTCTTTTTACCAATACTGCACTTATATCACCAAAGGAGGGCATAGTCATCTGCGCATGTGTTCGGTCCGGGGATGGCTCGACCTTAAGGAGATTCACAACAAGTGCATGCTTGATTTCACGGGACAGTGGGGCTAGCGGCTAGGGCCTAGATCACGGCACAAAGAAGCTCCGGGCCTCACGAGGGGCTCCAAACCCCTCACTCTCAAGCCCAAGCACGAAACACAAACAACCTGAACAAACGTAAACAATCGTAACCAAAGCTGGCACGGTGTTTTCGAGCCATTTCTTATGCGCGGCCTGAATGCTGGTAAGCTCTTTCTTTCAATATAAGGGTGGTGTCAGCCAGCGCATTAGCAGGCAGACAGCCCAGAGAGATACGGAAAGCTTGCCAGGGTCGTACTCTCCATTCTCCCGCCTGTTTTCGCCTATTTGTTGGGACTCAAACACATACAAGAAACGAGAGAGAACCAGAGTAGAGCCTCCATCGAAGACAGGCTGCGGCCCTCACAAAAGCTAAAGGGGCGGTTGCAGGCAGAAGCGCGGAATGTGTCAACCCCGGCACAGCAAGCTCGGCGAGCCTGGCCTGGACCCTACCGGTCCAAATTGAAAGCAGTCGAAAAGCGGCTGATGGAAATTATTTCACGTTGGAGGGGGCGAAGACGCCTCCCCTAAACCAGAGGCATTTATTTCACTGAATTTCACTGATCGCCGCGTCGCCAACTACCACAGCCAGCGAAAGAGCCGGCTGACCCTGCCACACAGCTGGTGCTGCCAATGCTCCGCCATTTGTTTGGCCTGCAGGGCTTAGGGTTTAGGGCTTCTTGTTTTGGGTTCCATACAGGCTCCCGGTTCGGGATGCAGGTTGGGTGCCCGGAGCCCCTAACTGATGCAGTCGGAAACCGAATCAACCCTCAACTTCGTAACATCTTGAACCTTAAGCACTCAAACCTCGAGGCGACAAATCATGATGCTGAAGCCTTGCTGGGGAACCAACCCACTCGATCTTTAGGCCCAACGCCCCGCTTTTTTGGGGGCGCAGTTAGGGTTTGCATGGCTGTTGAGTACAGGCTCCGAAGTCCTGGTCGCCCACATGCACTTCAGACTACGTATAGCTCCCAAGTCCAGGTTGTAGGCTCGTGCGGGGTGTTGAGAGTTTAGGCCCAAGGCTCGACGTTGAGCAAGCTGACCGAAGCCCGAGCTGAGACTCGAAACCCCAATAAAGAACCCTGAATGCCAATATAGAAACCCTCAAAGGCTCAAACCTTTATGGAGCCCCTATAAACGAGCTCATAGAAACTGCTAAGAACCCTTGTGCAGCCCTAAGCCTAAAGCCCTGATTCCCGTCTAAATCCAGAGACTCCAACATACCTGAATCAAGGAATATTCCTTTTCCTGTATTGCGAATCCGATACATTAAGGAGCCTTTTGGCTATTGGAATCTCCAAGAACCTAAACGCCGCAACCCTAAGCCTCAAACCCTCACACATACTCCCCGCTCCCAGGGGGCCAGATGGTTCGCGCCGGACCGCGCCCCTGACACGGCCGTCTCCAGGCGAACGGCCGCCTCACGCGCAACCTTTTGACAGTGACAGTGTAGGGTATATATATATATATATGGGTTAGGACATATCCGTCAGGGGGTTAGTATAGCGGTTAAGGGTTCTGCGACTCATCTGACCAGCAACTCTAGTGCGTACTATTGTGCTGCTACTCCAAAAATCTAAGATTCGAAGCCCTAGTAGGCCCTGGGCACCCTGCGTGCCATATGGGCGTTGATGAAAGTACATGAGGCACGACACGCGAGTACCCCAAATTCATAAACCTTACACCTCAAACTCCACACCCTAGATGCTTGGCCTTTGGTCCACGAAAGGGGCATAGATCTGTCTGTTTGCAGGGGGTATGAATCACATTAACAAAAAACAAACCATAGAGTTTTTTGGCACCCGCATAGCTGGACGAACCGTCGGAGGCCGTCTGACTGTCAGTCTCTCACGCGCTCTTCACAATGCTAAATGATGTGTCGGGCTTAGGGTTTGAGGGTAAGGCTTAGGGTACAAAGCTCTTCACTAAGTTCAAACAAAGTCAGCATCAAGCCCCAAGCAAGCACGAGCCCGAGTCCGGCAATCACTACACTCCGTAAGCGCGATCCCTCAAGCCTACGTCTTGAAACGCAAGAAGCCCTGCACCCTGCCTGCACCCTAAATACCCCAATCCCTGCAAACCCTAAACTTAAACATCTTAAACATAACCCAACATGACCCGGAAACCTTAGAATGAGGCCCTCAATGCTAGCTGAGTGAGGCCTCCGCGTGCGGTGCACCACCCAGCCCAGCTGCACTGAAGCGATGTTGCAGCCTTGCCGGCCCGAGGGTTCGGACAGCGACTTCAAGAGCCTTTGGTAATTCAGGAGCCCTATTTGCAATCTGTGCGCGGACCCCATAGCTGCGAGCTGGACCACATCGTGCCCGGTACCCTAGTCCCAGCCCGAAATGATGGCCAGGGAGCATCTCCATCTCGCCGAGGAGGATGCCAATCTGCCGCTGCGTTTGCCCCAAGAATCCTTCGTCCGTCACCTGCACTTCCCACCCGTAGTTAAGGGCTCCGTACCCACGTAGGGAAACTTCCTTAATTGTGAGATATTTTGGAGTCTTTGAGCAGTATGCGGCTTAGAGCTATTAGAGCTTTGAGTCTCAAGGGTTCTACAATTTCGGGTGTTTGGGCTTTACAGGGATTTTTCGTGTTTAGAGGGACCTCGCGCTTCCAGAAGAGGCCTGACGCACGTCCGTCCCAGAACTCCTAGAGAACATCCTGGAGCCATCGCGAAAGTAAATCCAACATCCTGGTCTCCATCTCGTGCAGTGCATTCTCAAGAAACCTCTTTCAAGGCTTCGAAGAGCCTCCCCCCCCCCCCTCCCCCCCATTTCAATGGGAAGAAAATCTGACGAACCAAGAGCGATGCCTGGATGCTGCCATGAACTTTTGAGTTGCCTATGCGCGGCAACTCTAAAACCCTTTCCACCGACCGGGGGCAGATGGGGTGTATCATGTGTATCGCACAGGGATCCCACCGGCATTTCGTTTCATCCTCGTGAGCCTTGTCGGCCAGGGGCGATCGACATTTGCGTGCGTGCAGCAGAGAGCGTATGTGGCGCTGAGGCCGCAGTACCAAAATGCACCAGACTTCCCAGTCTCCCAGGAGCTCTTTTTCGAGCGCCAGAGTTAGCAGAAGCGCGGTGCTCCGCCACCCCTCAAGTTTGACGGCTACTCCTAAAAAATCCAAAAACTGCCGAAATTATACTAATTTCAAAACCCAAATTAGGCATTTGACGTCGCGCTAAATATGAAAAAATGTCGCGCTTAATTTCGTTTCCGAAATTAAGCTCCAGGGTTTACACATAGCCCAGCCACCCAAACTCAAGGGCCTGACGGTCGGATACGGTCGGTTCCGGTCAAATTAAATTAACGAAACCCGAAATGCCTAGCTGCTAACTCAAACCTAAAACTCTCAGCCCTGGCCTAAACTCACTCAAACCCTGCAATGCAACAACCTATTACAAGGAGCCTACCTGGGCTGCCCTACACTGACCCTGAAACAACCCTACAACGAGCCTGTCTGCAGCCCAAACCCCAACGTCAAGCCGACTTGGGAACAACCTAAGCCCTGTACCCCAAACCTTGCCCCAAAGCCTGAAAAAAACCCTATCTGGGCCAAATAGGGTTTTTGCGAGTCTATCTGGCCAAATAGGGCCGAAGCAAAGCCAAACCCCACATTTCAGGGCGACCTGGGCAAACCCAAACTCCAGAACGCGCAACCAAAGCCAAAACCCCAGACAAAAGCCAGAAACAACCAAAAAGTAGTCCAAACCCTGAAGGCGAGCTGGGCTAACCCAAACTCCAGAACGCGAAACCAAAGCCAAAACCCCCGATAAAAGCCAGAAACAACCAAAAAGTAGCCGAAACCCGAAATCCGGCTATTCCAAGCCCCAAACCCAACCAGGAGGGGGGGGGGAGCGGGGGAGGGGAGAGGTGGGGCAGGGAGCTCGTTTTTTAGCATTGGGGGGGACGGGCTATAGTATTGGGGGGAGGCCCGGGCTCGTAATTTAGTATTAAGGAAAGACCCGGGCTCGTAATTTAGTATTGGAGGAAGGGCTCGTAATTTAGTATTGGGGGAAGGGCTCGTAATTTAGTATTGGGGGAAGGGCTCGCAATTTAGTATTGGGGGGAGGCCAGGGCTCGTAATTTAGTATTGGGGGGAGGCCCGGGCTCGTAATTCAGTATTGGGGGGAAGGCCGGGCTCGTGATTTAGTATTGGCGGCCAATTTTTGGGCCAAATAGGGTTTTTTTGCTCTGAAAAACCCTATCTGGGCCAGGTAGGTTTTTTGTGCTCTCAAAAACCCTATCTGGGCCAGATAGGGGTTTTTAAGCCAATTCCAAGCCCCAAACCCAACCAGGAGGGGGGGGGGGGGGGGGGGGAGCTGGGGAGGGGAGAAGGGGGGCAGGGAAGGGGACGGGAGGCCCGGGCTCGTTTTTTTAGTATTGGGGCTCTGAAAAACCCTATCTGGGCCAGAAAGGGGTTTTTTGTGCTCTCCAAAACCCTATCTGGGCCAGATAGGGTTTTTTAAGCCAATTCCAAGCCCCAAACCCAACCAGGAGGGGGGAGGTCCTACAGCTTGTTGGTGCTAAACCAGGTCCTTATTTTGGCTTAATTTCGGATTTCTGACGTCACTAATTTGGCGCTAATTTCAAAAGACGTCATAATAATTTGTGCAAAAAAAACACTCTCCACCGGCTTGATTATTGCTACAACTTACAACAGCACGGCCGCAAGTGGCGCCAGCCCTGCACGAGTACATATGTTGGCTTTTGTGTCCGAGCGACAAGTGCATTTGCTCGTTTGTTGGGCTGGTGTGAGGCGTTTCATTCTACTGACCACACCAGCGTGAAGAGGCTAGCGGCTGGTGTTTCCGCTGAATCTCGTCTATCTACCCACACCCAACGTTTTACACCGAAAACTCGGTACGTTCGGGGGTTGCCTGCAAAAATCAAGGTCCTTACGGTCATTTTTGAGGATATACATATATATATATATATTTATATTTATTTATGTATCTTTCTTTACGATCCTGGTACTCGGTTCGCCAGCCCCCCCCCCCCCCCCATGGTACGTCCCTCCACCCCAACCCCCTAAAACCCTTAACCCCAAACCCCAAACCCTGAACCCTAAACCCTAACCCAAAAACCCCAAACCCTAAAAACTCTAAACCCTCAACCCTTTTGCATCCAGGTCTCTTGCAGCCAAACGCTCAACCCCAAAACCCTAAACCCTAAACCGACCCACTACCACACCACCGGGCGGGGGGGGGGGGGGGGGTGGGGGGGGGGGGGTGGGGCCAGCCCCACCGGCTCATGTATTATTTTGTGTATTTATTTATGGGGGGGGGGGGGATGGGGGGGGGGGGGGTGGGGCCAGCCCGCACCGGCATCATGTATTTATTTTGTGTATTTATTTATGTATGTATGTATATATATATATATATATGTAAGGAAGAGTCCGACTTGTATGCCCAGGGTGTGCGAGCCAATACCTTGTCAACGGGTTATCAGTTATCCAGTTTTCGACCTACTCTTAGAGTACACAGACGACACGCTGCCTCCTCAACCTCCCATTGCAACCGCCCTAAGCCCAAACCCTGAACTGTTCAAGCCGTGTAAATCCTGAAAACTCTATATTTCCCCAAGTCTGAATCCTACATCGCAAGACCAGATATCCCGACAGCGCTAAACCCTCAACCCATTCAACCCTAAAGCGGACTGTTAAATGGGCCTTGTCCAGGTGAGCCCGAATGTGCTTGAGGGCGGCTGGTCCGTCACTGGTGCAGAACCTGGATCATGCATGGGCTTCAGGGTCAGGGTTGTGTTTTGGGTTCGCAGCGCGGATGGAAAACCTCCCTGAATTCAACAACACGTGAACGTGAAACTGCCGCAAGTACAGGTTTTGGAATGTTTTTCAGCGTGATGGCTCGGCGCTGTTTTCTTGAAAAATAAAAGCGTTCGTGAGCGCCGCCCCCCCTCCCCACCTCTCCTCCGTACCCGAGGTCTTCTTGAGGGTTTAGGAGTTTAGGGTTTGGATTTTGGGTTCAGATTCAGGGCCTCTCGTGTCCAAGCATTCACGAGTCAAGCAGCTTGTCACGTCTCTAGAAACTATAACCGCCCCACCCCTCCCTGCCGCCCATGCCCCTCAATGCACCCCTGGCCTGCCCCCCTTCCTTGCCCTTCCGAACGGCCTGTAAACCCTCTGTAAACCCTCTATAACCCCATCGATGCTATAAATCCTACAAACTCTGAACCCTCAGGGGGATGGCCGACCCCTGAATCATACAGACGGGGGAGCTCATCAATCCCAAAGGCTAAAACCTTTTCCCTATATCCTTTTCGCTAGGTTTAGGCCTTGCCATTGCTTTGGACCGTTTGAATAGTGATCCTTCTGTGTGTGCCACTTCAAAAATGAGTGTTTTGCTCTAAAACCTCAACCCTTGACCCTAAACCTCACTTATGCCCCCGAGTTGTTCGGTACGAAAAACGTCGACTTTCACGCCCAGTGCCAAGTCAAAGCATCTGCGAGCAACTTGGGGAGCGGCTGCTGATTCGCCAGCAGGCGTTCTCGATTTGCGGTGTAGGGTTTCTTTGACTCTGTCTGTCTGTCTCTCTCTCTCTCTCTCTCTCTCTCTCTGCCATTGCACCCAGAGCCAGAGGGTCTAGGGTGTAGGATGGTGTAGGGTTTAGCCTTGTGGATCTTGTCATCCAGGCAAGGTGGCTTGGGAGAAGGCTTGACTACGGGGGGCTTAGGGAGGTTGTTGGGTCCTCGGTTCCAAATTCGCCCAGAAATAGCCATCAGATCCTGGACCCCTCAATGCAAAGGTGTGTTCTCTTTGCCACCCACCTAGCTGACTTAGGTGGGCGCAGAGTTTACGGCGCTTTGGGCTGCAGGGGGGTGGGGCCGGCAACTAACCCGAACCAGTCAAAGCCGCCCCGTCAGTCAAATGAGAGGAAACCTGGAACTCTGGGTTTGTGCATTAGAAATTGAAGGTATATTATGGAGTTTAGGGTGGTTTCAGGTTTGGGGCTTCTTCTACATGATCTGAGGGCTGCGCCTCCTGCACGGGTTGAGGGTTTAGGGCTTATGAATTCAAACCCGGGAACAAAGCCCAAAGCCTAAACCCTAACCTCGCCAAAGGCACGCGTCGATCTCGTTCCGGCTGGCATCAATCACCTGCGCTGCCTCCAATGGGTGTTAAGCCGCATTGGCAGGGTGACTTTAGGTGAAGGGGCTGCGGGTTGCGAAAAGATTAAGGTCTTGGCGGATTAGAGTCCACCCTGAACCAACCCTAGGCCTGGGACCCTAATCCCTGAACACAGGCCCGAAGACTCGGAATTTGCGTCCAGCATGAAGAAATCTGGTCCAGAGCTCGTGGCACTGAGCTCTGTTTTCAAGCCGCGAACTCCGTGGACCCTGAAAGTGAAACGCTTAACACCTGCCCCAAACCCTAAACCCAAACACCTCAAGCACCCAATGACCGTAACAGTGGATGCAGGCCAAATCGAAGAAGGATCCCTGTGTTTAGGGTTCTAAGTTTAAGGGTCGATTGGGGTTCCGAAGCTTTGAGCCTTTAAGCCCCACAAGGGAGTTTCAGTAGCATCAAGGACCTTGAAGAAACGCCATGTAATCCCCACGCACCCCTTCTACAGCGCAATAAAGGAGGCCCAGGACTGCAACAAACTTATACAACGCTGTAGATTCGTGCACTCTCTAGGTCCATACAAAGCCAGACAAACACCCGAGCCCAACCCTTCTACAGCCCCCTATACAGGAGCTAGAACCCTTCAGGAGCCCTTAGAAAAGGAGCCATCTGATTCGAACAACAGAACAAGCGCTAAACCCCTCCTGCCAGTCATATTACACTTAAACTGTAGAACCCTCCAACGGAGTCCCACGGTACAAAGCCCGGGAGATGACCCGCAAGCCTTAACTACTTGAACCCTAAACCCGAAACCCCTCCAACCCTAAACCGCTGGAGCATCCAAACCCTGCCATCCCCAAACTACGAAGTCACACATTCTCCCAAAAGCCTTTATCCTGCAGAACCCTAAGCCCTAGAACCCTGTACAGGCCCCTGCTGGCCCCTTTTGGTGTGAGCCCATTCAGCCTTCACGTCCGCCAAGGCGAGCTGGTCCAGCAAGCCGCCATCGACCACTCTCGATGCCAGCAGCCCGACCTATCTATATATAAAGGGCGTAGGGCGTTTTTTTTCCCACCCGTTTCGCAAGCGTTTACGGGGAAAAGGTCAGAGACATATCCTAGCCAAAGTTCAGAACAGTGTGATGACTTGGGGCTGGCCTCAGCACTGTGCCTCAGGACTGTTCATTCAAGCACAACCAAGAGTGCGAACACCAAACAAACAGAAGAATGCACAACCCATACAAACTGCAAGCCCTGAACAGCCCGCCTCACAAAAGAAACAAAGGACTCACTCTGTATCCCCCTCCCTGCCGTCTCGCACCTGCCCAAGCCATCAAGTGCAGAAGGGGACTAGGGCTTGGGGTTTAGGATTGAGGGTTTAGGGCGTGCATACATATGCACAACTACATACACACACACACACACACACACACATGAAGGCGTATATATATATATATACATATGTGTATGTGTATATATATATATGTGTGTGTGTGCACGCACACGCACAGTGTCCTAAACAATGTTCACTGTCACATAATGTTACGCAATGCTGTTGGCAAAAATCTTCAGCGCCGTCCAACAGCTGGCCGAGAAAGAAGCCTTCGGGACAGCTGAAAGAAACCCTTTCAGGACTTCCGAAGCGAACCCCAATCCCTGAAACCCGATATACACCCTAAGACCCCACAACTCGAAACTGTCCTAAATTCCCCCCTCCCCGTCCCGCTTCGAATTCACCGGGGAACAGCCTGAGAGCCCCGCCTGGAAAGTTACCTCAGACCAAGTCTTCTTGAGAACTTCGTGGGCATTCCTGAGCTTGGGGTTCATGGTTTGGGGGGCTCTCTTGTGGGTTTTGTTCAAGAGCCAAAGTTCAGATACCATCCTCAGGTTCTGCAAAAAGAATTTGGCTTTCTCGGTCCCGCATGAAGTTCCTTCGCTACTAGGACGCAGCCTCAGTTCCCTTGGAAGTTTGGGTATGTCGGTCCATTCGCCTCGTCTAGGGCTTTAAGTTGTTTAAGGCTCGGGGTTTCGGATTCAAGGCGGGTGAAGGTTTGGGGTTTCAGGCGTCCTGTTTCGGGTTCCTGTGTTGAGGCTTTCGGTCTTTATAATAGAGACCTGGTAAGACTCGACGAAGCGTCACTTTGACTAGGATTTTGAGTAGTTTGGGGGCTGAAGGGGTTTGGGTTTTACATCACGAAACTCGCTTGCCCAACGCCAGGCGCCTCTTGTCCAAAGAAGGTTGACAAGGGCTTCTCCTAATTTACCCCGAACCCGAAAATCCATAATACGGCACCGTACTACATACTTCAACCTGAAAGCATCCTTTCATTATGACAGAACCTGATCTAACCTTATCCAAGGTCACGTAACATAGAGTATGACGATAACAGATGCATTAGTATCATGTTGCCTTTCAATCCAACACCTTGAAGGATGTTGCAAGACCCCCAAACAGAACCCCGAAGCCTAAAACCTAAAGCCTGAACCGAGCATCCTTTCCGCACGGGCCGAGGCCGCGTAAGCAGCCTTCAGCTGGTCGAAGTTGACGCGGCACTGGGAGGTATACCCTAGCAGCGCGTTTTCAACATTTGGGCTTCGGCAAGCTACAAGGTTCTACGAACGCAAAGCATACCAACCAAAAGCGAAGACTACACGACACCTGCAGGGCGGGACTTGGGCGAAACACATGCGCCGCACATACATACATATATACACGCACACATGTGAACTCTCTCCATACTTTGTACACGTAGTTCACGGAACGTTGGTATGCCAGCAGGAAGTACCGGCCTCGCAAGGCATCCACAGCGCGCCGGGTGGCCTGCGGACTGTTTCGGGGTTTAGGCCTTTGGGGTTTTGGGTTTCGTGTTTAGGGCTTTAGGGTTTTGCACGATTTGGGGGCCGGCTTTCCAGAAGGGTTGCATTGGGATCCCATGAGGGTCTTACAAGGAAAGATGTTAATGTTTCGGGTTGAAGGGTTGTCTGGTTTCCGAGTTGAAGCTGTGACCAACAACCGTGGCATGTGTTCTATATCTATTCCTGCAGGGGATGAAGCCCTCACTTAGAACAACCCGCTCAACCCCGAAGCCAAGACCACCCTAAATCCTACACCCTTTTTGCTGCCGGGCTGCTTCGGTACTACACCCTAAACCTCCACTTCCCCAACTTTACAACCACAAAGCCCAAACATTAAACACCCCAAATCCTAAACTCTGAAACCCCAAAGCCTACACGTTTTTTGTCAATCCAGACCTCGTGACGAATCCTAAACACTGAACCCCAAAACCCTAAACTCCTAAACATCCTCAACTCTAAATCCGACAGTCCTAAAACCCCAGCAAATCTAAAATTAAAACGGAAGGCCAGGGCTTCCCTCTGCCCTCAGTTCAGTCGCGACCTGCGTGTGCTCGCCAGCTGCTTCAAGGTACCTGGCGAGTGTTTTGCTATGGGAATGATTAGAAGAGGGTTTTGGTGGTGGCAACTATGCTAGGAACCAAGGAATAATCTTTGTAGTTGGTCCGGCGTTTACATCAAGGATTTTAGGGTTTGGGCGTAGGGCTTATAGGGCAGTAGGGTTTTAGGGTCGAGGGTGCACACTCTCTCTCTCTCTCTGCTGTTTCGGTTGGGCAGCTATGCTTCGTACTATCTTGGGATATACTATGCAACGTCGTAGTGGCTGTGCTACTGCTGTGCTATACCATGCTGGGTTCTACCAGTTCTCTTGACATGCTGGTGCGATGAGAGGCATTTGGATTTTGGAACTTGAGGTTCAAGCCTTGGGCTGGGTGCTGCTGGAGGAGGCTACAGTAAGGGTAGTTGCTTAGACACGTCTGGCTGTGTTTCTTGTACATTGTATATTGTTGGCTTCGGTGTCTCGAAGATGATGCGGAACAAAGAGGGTCAAAGCGGGTTGTGCGGGGCACCCATCCAGCTTCCTCCGGATGCCCCACCACATGGAATCGAAGGTCTCCAGTGCCTTTGGGGTTTCGTTTCGGGTTTTGATGCCTTCAGCTCAGCCACATCCACCAACTGCATCGCCCGAGTTTAAGGTAAGTGTAGTGGTTTTGCCGGGCTTGCGTTCAGAAACTTTATTTATCACTTCCTAACACCGATAATGCCAGCACAAACCCCAAACAGTGATACACCACAGAACCGATTGACGGACCATGACGACCACGACCACCACAACCAACACGGCAACCGCCCTGTGGACCAGCAGGACCCATGCGACGAGGAGGACCACCAGGACCACCACAACAGCAATGACCAGCGAGACCACTAGGAGACGACCGGGGCAACCAAGAGATCACCAGACCACCAGGATCATCGTAACCAGCCTTCCCTACAGGGGCTCGGGAAAGTCGACCCTTTTATTGGGGGAGACGTGAAACCCCAATGAACGCAGAGGGTTCAGGAAGATGACGAAGTCGACTGCGGGATCCTTTCCCCCCACTGAGCGCATGGATTTTACAGCTACGAAAAGCAGCGAAAATCAGTACGCAAGCATCGAAATCCCCAAGGAACGCTGGGGCTCAACATGCCTGAAAACATCATCCAACATGGTTGCTGAAGGACCTCCGCCCGAGTGAAACGCAAGCAAAGCATGGAGTCAAGGCCTACCAAAACTTACGAAGAAGAGGCAACCATTTCTCTGAACCTATATCGCGTCGTATAGCCAACATGGCGTATGACACGCATGCATGGAATTGTGGTTCCGCCCGAGGGAAGCGCAGTTTCGGTCGACTTCCTAAAAAGCTTCCCCGCAGTGATTTGCCTTACCGCAAGAAAAAAGGTCAACTTTCCATGTTGTCTGTATGTTGCATGGTGGGATTCAGCGCTAAACGGCCACCGTTACCCGGACGCTTTCCGCATGGCGCCACGGGCAAAAATCCGCCTTGTCCGACGGGTTTCGATGGCGGGATTCAATGTTCAATGTTCATGGCCGAAACGCTTCCCCGCCTTGTCTGCTGGGTTTCAAGCATTTTGGCGCATCTGTTTGAATTTATATACGATGAATTTAGGCGTCGCAGGTGACCCTGTGCAGCAAGGAACTGGGGATAAGGTGGTTTAGGGAAACATGTGCACCGGGCAACAGCAGAAGCCGCGGCCCCTCCGTGACCTGATCCCTCTACACCCAACGTAAGAATCCGTTACGAAGTGTTACTATGCTGTTTTCGGAAAAGCCTCAAAAGCAAACACTGCAACCCTAAACCTCCACTTCTCAGTGGAGTTATTCATTACTTTCGGGTCTTCGCCCGGTTCCAGCACTTCGGCTGCGTGACAGGGATTTACCACACCCCATGGCGACTGAAATTGAACTCCTTAGCCAGAATCCAGTAGAGGCCCGGGCCGAAGCCCTGAACCCCAAACGCACCACCCCTGAAGGCCCTGAAGACATGCACTGAAGACACGCGTGCTGATCCTCGAAAGCCCCTTGAGGGTGTAGGGTTTCTTTCCCACCCGGTTCGCATGAGGGTGTAAGGTTTACAGGCATTTTGTCCTTCGATAACCTTTTGTTGCTCTACCCATCTGAGCTGACAGCATGACCTGTCCCCTACATGTGCTCATCGACGACTGTGGGGGACTTCCTTGACAGTCCCGGAAAGTGCGGCAAACTCCTCCGAACCGACAGCGAAACGCAACGGAAAGTGGAGAAGAACCCGGTCGTCACCTCCACCGGGCGCAAGTGCAGCCCGAAGTGATTGCAGGATTCATCTTCGTTGTAGACGTTGGTTTTCGAGCAACTGATGGTCAGGGTTGCCTCGTCCGCTCCTCTGAAGTTGGTCAAAAAGTACAAGGTTGACCCGCCACGCCATACAGTAGGAGGAACATGATTGGAAAAATGGCGAGGGAGAGCGCAGCCCATTACAAGGATGCCTCTGCTGCGCTGATGTGCCCAGCAAACAGGTGTCTCTTGAACCATTTCAGCGTCGCTGGGGTCACGCGCCGTCTCCTTAGAACGGTAGAGCTTCTTCAACCCGATATCTGGGCCATAGGATCGCACCGCCGCCAGTCCGGGACCCCCACTGCCGACCAAGAACTGAAGGAAACCCACGATGCGCCTTCAGGGACGGCCCCCTTCTTGCGCAAAACAGCTCCCACCATTTTCACGGCGGATGTCGCCGCCTCGCCCTTGGCTAGTCTTTTTCTCCAGCTCAAGATCCTTGTTGGGTCCAGGTACCAGTACCGATTGGCCCTTGTCACGGTGCCCGCTGTGCTTTAAAAGTAGCTGACATCTGCTGCGTCGCCGACGTTTCGGGTCAGATCCATCCTGGCAGGCATCAGCTGGAACGACGCCGACGCCCAATGAGCGTAGGCGTGGTTGGTATCGCGTCTGGCCTCGTCCGTGCCATCCCCGGCAAGCGCAAAGGGGTGACAGATGGGCACTCACATGCACTCACTATATAGTGCTTCGACCGCCTGTTTCTGACGTGCGGGCAAGAGCTCAGATGGAACCGGTCACCGAAATGCGGAGTACATCGGCATCCTGGCGCCAGCTGTGCCTACTGATACAACCCAGTTCGCAATACCCTAAGTAACTCTATACTTGCTGTCTGAGCGTGTGTCGAATAATGTCCTCGCCCGTTGTCAGTAACCTTTTTTAAAACGCTCAACCCCCAACCCTGAACCTTAAGCCCTAGCCCTGGACCCCCAGCCCTGAACCCGAAGGAAGCCTAGCCTTGTTGCCCAACACCCACGCGCCTGCCCCACGCGGGCCTCCTGGAATTCGGTCATCAGCGAGAGCCTCCGACAACCGAAGCCCTGTTAAGATTTCTAATTACTGCCAATCAGTATTATTGCTGGTAGTCCTGCTTAGTCTTAGTCCGACGTATTGATTGCTATGACTGCTATCTCAGTAGGGGTCTGTCGTCTGTCGTCATTCGTGGTCCGTCGTCGTCGTCGTCGTCACCGTCGTCACCGTCGTCACCGCCACCGTCACCGTCGTCACCGTCACCGTCGTCACCGTCACCGTCGTCACCGTCACCGTCGGCGTCGTCGTCGTCCTCGTCCTCGTCGTCGTCGCCGTCGCCGTCGCCGTCGCCATTTTGGTGCAAACCTCAGGCTTCCCCCGAAGCTGCAAACCTACATTTCGAAACCTAAAACGGCAGCTTAAGCCTTCTGAGGTAGTCACAGGTGTGAGACATAGACAACATTACCCAGGCCGAGCTCGGGCTGCTCAGATCCTGAATTGAAAGCCTCTACCTAGTCTGAAGGCTTGTCGTTTAGAGTTTAGAACTTGCGCATGCTTGCGCCCCATGTCGCCCCCGTCCCAACCCCTAAACCATAGAAGCGCGAGGAGATGACCGAACATCGAATAACATCGAAAACCTTGTCCTTGACTTCGGGTGCATGAATGACCCGAAAACCCGAAGGGTTTGAGGAGATGGAATTTCGAGTTTAGGGTTTGGGGCCAGCATGCAGACTGTATTTCGGCGTGTGGAGGGCAACACACAGAAAATACCCAAACTTCTCTTGAAACCTCTGCGTGCCACCGACCAAAAAAATCCCAAAGCCATCCTACAGAGACATATGTGTCCATGTACGCGCTCGGTACTCATCCAGGCACGTTGCTTGACATAGCGACTCGCTGAGCGACTCTCGCCAAAAACAAGTGTTCAGCTGCTTGAAAGCCTACTACACCCTGCCCCAATAAGCCCGAACTGCAACAAACCATGAACCCTAGTAAGCCCTAAGCTGAAAACGGAAAACCTTCCGCCCTAATCAAAGACCGAACCCTCCACCCTCGTTCAACTAAAAGCCCTGGCTGCAGGCCATTTTCCTACCGCCTCTTAAGGGAATACATAGGAAACCATATACTTCGGGACCTTACAAATGCAGGGCTTTAGCGCTGCAGGCAGAAACTAGATCCTAATTTTAAGCTCCAACCAACTCTGAACCCGAGACCCCTTTCAATCATCGCCGGGCAGGCTTCCTCTCGAAATGGTTCTTCAGCCACCGCTGCACCCGCTTCCCCTTGCCAGCCGTCTCGTGGTAAAGGCCCAGGACGTGGGCTTTGGCCTGACTTCGGCTGGAGGATCCGAGAGACTCCAAAACCCCTTAGTTAAAGAGCGGAATACACCTTAACTCATACTGAGGATACCTCTAAACCTTTCGGCACAAATGCCCATGAATTAAAGCTTATCCTTTCAATCGCATTACGGATCCCTCTCGCATGGCTTAGCCAGTTAGTCTTGGAGACTCAGTTTCTTCACGTGGTTTCGGGATTTTGGTGTCTCTTGTAAGGTTTTGGGGTTCTGAAAATAATCGAGGGTTTGAACCCACGAGACTCCCAAACCTCTCAGTTGAGGAGCTGAACACATCCTAAATCATGTCACAGTGAAGACCCTGTATAATTTAAGTTATGTTGCTCTTCATCAAGGAATACAATCTCGCCCTAGACCCTAAACCCTCAAACCTTGAAGGTCTAGTGCTTGACTTGAGGGGATTTTGCAGTCTCGAGGAGCCTCGACGTTTCGGGGTTTCGGGTTCAGGCAGCTGACAATGCAGCGCTCCTCTTGACTACAGTTTAGGGCCACCTTACCTAGGGGCGCTTGTCATGAGGCTCCTACTATGTTTAAAGCTCGGGGTCCTGTTGGGGTCATACTAGGGGTCCTGACAGTCCTGACATGGAGGTCCTGTAAAGAAAAGAGGGGGGGGAGTTGGGCCTTGGGTTTTGCTTGAGCTCCTCCTCTCCGCAGAGCCCGATGTGACAAAGCGGAGGCCAGCCCGTGCTTTTCGGGGTTTAATAGGAGCAGGTTTAGGGTTTCGGGTGTAGGGTTCAGTACTCGAAAGCTACAAGCAAAGACATCAAAGAAAGAACAACGATCCGCTTATCAAAACGTACGAAAAGAACTGGTTACCCTTAAGCCCGGAACCCGAGCATGCAAGCATACGGCCTTCAGGAAGTCATTCATGGACGCCGCCATGCGCACAGATCCTTGCTGCACTTCCTGCGCACAGAGGCTGCTGAGCGGATGGCTTAGAAATTCGGGTTGAGGAAACCTTAAACACTATAAGCCCTACAACCTAAAGCCCCAAACCCTCAACCCAAAACCTGGTTCAGGGCTAAAGGGTTCAACTCGGGTTTCTTCAGGGCTCAAGCGCCTGGTAACATCAGGTATGATCAGTTTACTCGGCGCTGTCTCTGAGTCTGCGCAACTGAATTTCGGTTAAGGGCTTAGGAGTTAGGGGGTAGCCGGGGTAGCGTTAAGAGTCTGGAGTTGAAAGTAAAGGATTTGGGCTAGGATTTGGCCCTGACTTGGGTGCAGAAAATGATTCTGCAAATGGCCTTGCCCCCTCAAGTCGGGAGCCTTTCGAGCCCTAACCCATAGGCTTGGTTGGGGCTTTCGTGTTTTGGGGGTTTACGGTTCAGGGCTTTCAGTTTGCGGGTTTAGGGTTCAGGGTTGCCGGTTTAGGGCTTATAGGGTGGCAAGAGGTCTGCGCAGTTTTGCACTTCCAGACCCTAAGCCGGCCGAGGATTTTAGGAATTCAGGACCGAGGCCATCACCACCATCACCATCAGCATTTTTGGGCGCATGCTGGGGGTCTCATGATGTAGTTTATCACATCAAACCCTAAACCTGGTGTTCACGACCTGAAGGAACTCTGCACCTGGAGTCGCCACACAAAGGCCACGAAGCATGCACAACTCGCTACGATTTGTAAATGACACAACCCTAATAATTTCAGGTTTTCGGGCATTGGGGCTTAGGTTCGTTATTGCTGATTCCCGTACAACAAACCAAAGAATATCCCTCCTGAAGAGACCGTCTTTGACTCACACCCGTGTCCTCCACCATCGACAACTTTCGGCCAGAGACGGCCATCACCTGAAGGAGCCAAATACTTCTGCCGCGTGGAAGAAGGTTTGAGGCCTCTGGACATACAGACTTACAAAACAGGATTTCATCGCTCACATTCGGACAATCCAAAATGACTCTTGACGTACAGACTTACAAAACAGGATCAAATCGCTCACATTCGGACAAGTTAGGCGAGGCGCAAAATATGCAAAAGCCTTCACTTGCAGGCGTGTTAGGCCCGAGGTGATACAAACAGTGATTGAGCATTACTGCCCCTTCGGTGATACGCTCGGAGGGTCTAAGGCCAGGACATGTATATGTTGAATCTGAAACTTTCCTAACCAACCCTCCCCCTTCAGTCAGGGTTTAGGGGTTCTGGTTAGGGTTTATTGCAACCTGCCCAGCAGCCTCGCACCACACTGCAGGGATGCAAAACGGTCTGAAGTCTGTGAACCGATTCGCGGTATAGGGCCGGGATTTCGGGGCTTACGAGGGCTCGTTAAAGATCAGCGCACAGGAGCCCGAGGAGTTCGCAACACTCTCCTCTTAAGCTCCTTAAAACCCTGCAGCCGTAAACCGTAACCCCCAAACCCTGGGACCCTATACCCTGATCCCACCAGCATGAACCGCCTTCAACTACTCTGGCTTCCACAGTTAATCTGGCGGGCCGCGTAGGGTACTGTAGCTCTCCAAATCAGGGCCCCTGCGGCGGTCCATATTAAGAGAGTGAGAAAAGTGAAACTTCAATTTAACTTAACGCACCAACCCATGTATCAACATCTCGCAGCACCAATAGTATCAAACGGAAAGCCCAAGAACCGTAAACCCTAGGTCGAGGACTTACGCAGTACTGTTTGGGCCAAAACCCCAGACTTCTCACGGCATCGGGTTTAGGGCCATGGCATCTTGAATTCGGCTTGGGCCTCACCCCCCGAAACACACAGCGGAGGCATGGCTCAAAACTCTCTCCTATTCCTCCAAGGCGCTGCCGAGTGCAAGGTGGAGACGTCATCCGAAAGCATCCGCAGCGAGGCGTTCACACCTTCGGGCTCTTTACAGTTTCTAGGGGCTACTTAGGGGATCTTTTGGGGGTTCTTGGGGCATCTTTATGTTGTTAGTGCCTTCTTTTGTAGGTCTTAGAAGGACTACGGATATTGGATTTTAGGATTTGGGCTGATGTAGGGTTTGGGCTTTATGGTTCAGGGATTCGGGGCTGGGATTTGGATGTAGGGTCCATAGTTCAGGGTCTCTTAATGTCTCTTATGGAGGATCTGCAATTAGGATTGAGGGAAAGTCTTGAGGGAAAGTCTTGGCGTTACTTATACGGACTTCGTTTCTGGTGGTGTGCTTTGTGTTGAAGGAGCCAGGCTTCCCACAATTAGGGTCCAAATACTATGTTGGGCTTCATGGATTTGTAGACCTTTTATAAGAGCATTCTGGGGCTGTTCGCTTAAACGAAGTTAGCAAGAGCCCTGTCGCGCAGACCTGTCTACTGTATAAAACAGCCCTCCCATTCTCCCGTAATCAGGCTTATACTAGGAATCCTGAGATACAAGCGCAAATGAGGTTTATCAATCAGGGTCTGCATGTCTCCAACCCGCTGGACGCCACCCTGAACCCAGAACCCCGAAGCCTTGAACCTCAAACTCTACACCCCAACAGCCCACCACCCTAAACCCTAAGCCCTAAGCCGTCTCAAAGCCGTAAGTCCCGAACCCCCAAGAAACCATATGCGCGTGTCCTTTACCCTAACCAAAAATCTCCAAAACTCCCAACTCTGCCCCCGAACCCGTAGGGCCTAGACGTCATCCCTACACCTTCTCAACCCCCAAGCCCATCGTATACCCATCCAAGCCCCCAAGAACCGTCCCCCTTGCTGCTGGAGACACCGGCAGGGTGAATGCGCCAGCGTCCCGCGAAGGAGCTCACGGCGCGCTGGGCAGCCAGGGATGCCCGAGGCTCCAGGGGAGCCTTTCTAAAAATCGTGGCTTAGGGGGGGTTGAGGGTCGAGGTTTTTTGGGGGTTAGAACAACACTTAAATTGAATCTTGTCATTTTTGATTTCTTGCATACTTGCTTTTCAAAAGAACGCGAGACGTCAAACAAGACAAAATGGCAAACAAGCGCCCTGCCACGGTCAGCCCCCTGGACTCCAAAACGGGAGGTGGACAGGTTCGGGTTGGAGGCATTCCCGGGCTGTTGTATGGCTCGGCTTGGAACCGGAGAAAAACCTAAACGTTTTGTCAGACGACGGCCAATCATGCCCTCGACAACCCAGCCGTGACTGTTTTAGGGTTATAGCTCCAATGTTGGCCCATGACAAGAAGGTCGACTTGGGTCTGAGCCAAGAGGTATGGGCAGCTTCTTTTCAGCAGGGCAATAGCTCCATTGGGCTTTTATACGGTATATGTTTGAATGCCTGGTTTTTGCACGCGGTCCTCCCAAGTTCGCACCCCCAAACTGGAACAAAGCAGACAGTGTAAGGAAGAGGGGCCCCCCAAGCAAACCTTGCCCTAGAGCCCCAAACCCTAGACATTCTAGAATCAGAGCCCTGCAATCGAAACCTCCAAAAACTCCATCCACAAGGCAACCCTCCCTAAGCCTGCCCAAACCCATCTAAACCCCCAGAATTTCTAAAGGGGGGCAAACTGGCCCAAACCCGAGAGAGGCGGGGAGGCGGGGGCCTCCTGGGCCACCTGGAGCACCTCCGAGAGTTGCGCCGCAACGCCCCGGCGCAGCGCCGCGGCCTCTGCGGTCTTCTGCAGCATTTTGAGGGCTCTTGGAGGGTTCTTTCAAAATTATTCTAGGTCCTTTTAGGGTTCTTTCTGGTTTCTTGTGGTCTGCGTTCTCTTAGGATTCCAGGGTTCTGTAGGGCCTTTTCTTGCGCTTCTTTCACGGGCTTCAGGGTTGTTTGCAGGCCTTATGGATTTGTCAGGGTTCCAGGTCTCATGGTTTAGGGTGGTTTAGACATCCTACCCCAAACCAGAAACCGTTTGTTCAGGCTTCCATGGTGAAGAAACGGAAGTGTCAGGGCTTTCCTTGTGTCTTACAGATCCCAAAGGAAGGCAAGATGGGGTTTGTAGCATAATTAAACCCTACGCCCTGACTCCTCGTGAAGCGAGGCTTGTAGTTTGTATTTGTATTGTTTTTGATTCTATGCTGACGTGGTTCTTGAGCTAGCCCCAACTAAAATGGGGCTAAGGAGGAAGCGCGAGATCACCCAAAAACTGCTGAGCTGCGAAGGACTGCCCATGACTGCCCCTAGAGGAACTCGATCTGGCCCGGGCCTGCTCAGCCAGGGACACGCCAGACTTCTCCCCCACCTCGGCAAAACCGCACGCCCTTCTGTGACTGTCTTTCCAGTGCAAGGCTTCCTACATGGTATCCTGAACCTGAACCAGAAACAAGACTCTCAACCCTCAGAGTATAGATCCTAAAACTTAAAACCCTCGTCCCGAACACCCTGCTCCCCAGAAGCCCAAACCTTAAACTCCAAATCCCCTACCCCAAGCCCTGAAATCCAAAAGCCCGGAAGGGCTCTAAGCAGAAATTGCAGGAACTTCATAAAACTTGTAGCCTAGAGGCATAATGCTCCAGGAGGATCTGGGTGTTCTTGCCCACAATTTCGACTGCCTCCTCCAGGGCGCGCAGGATCGCGTCGTCTCCTTTGCCTGGGGCTGGTGCTTGCAGTTTCCGGTGTCAGGTTTCGGGTGTTGGGTGGAACTTCAGCTGTAGCACGGTATGTAGACCTGGGTTTATTAATGGCTTGAGTCAAGACAGTCAAGAAAGAGAGCGAGAGAGGGAGACAGCGAGAGGGAGAGAGGCCGGGAAGGAGAGAATCCTTAAAACAACCCTATGAAAATCTATGAACATCTATGAACTCGTAGACGCAGAGTCCCAGCGCCCGTTGTTTGGGCGCTGGGATTCTGGGTTTCGGGTTTAGCATGTCGGACCCCTATGCCCCTGAACTCTGCACAATTCCCAACATTTGTTTCCTACAAACCAAAAAACATCCTCAATCTTAAAACCAAAGCCCCCACGTCCTAACCCCCAAGAAGCCGGCCCCTTAAACCCGAAGCCCATAGCCCAGCAGCGTACGGCATCTCGGATGCAGTGGAGGTCGCAGAAGGTCCGCGCGAAGCCATGCCTGGCTTTTAAAGTCAACCTTGTTTTGTACTGGGGGGGGAGGGGGGGGCGGAAGTCTACAGTTTCGGCGGATTTGGGGCTTTGGGGTTTAGGAGTGTTGTGGAAGCTGTGGAAGATGAAGCCCAAACTCCTACGGTTTTAGGGTTTGTGGTTGCGCGACTCGCTAAGCCCAAAACCCCCGAACACTGACCGGCTTAGGCCTGAAAAGGGTTTAGGGGTTAGGGCTTGGGGTTTGGGGGTTGCGGGTTTAGGGCTTGAGGACCCTAAGCCGTACACCCTACACCCCAATCCTAGGCATGGTCACAGACCTACCTAAACACCCTGCGGCTATGGGGGAAAGGGCGGGCGGACAGGCGGAGGGCTGTTGGAGAGTTCTGCCGCATGGTCGTCTTTCATTTTCGGAGAACGACTTCACGGTGCTATCTCATGTTCATTCACTCGAAGTTTCGGCTCGGCTTAGCTGCGGGCTCCAGAAATTCAGAAAGGCACCTTGGGAATATATTCCTCCATGCCCAGCGGCGAAGAAACTACTGTTCTGGACTACCTCTACCTCCTTCATTTGTCGCGCGGCACCGCAAGGGGAGTTCGGACCCCCTCAAGCACAAGACGTGCAAGTTGCAGTCGAAGGGACCTGTGGAATCCTGAATGCGATCCCTAGACTCACAAGCCATGGGCCCCTTGAGTGCTATTACCCTCTGAACTCCTTCAGCCGCTTAGGGCTTTCGACCTCTCGTTTGGAGGAATGCTCCCCTGTCTCGAATCCCTAGAATTAACAAGAAGCCCGATAACCAAAAACACGGAAGCCCTAAACGGTAAGCCCCTCGGCAGTATCTGCTTCGATTCCTTCAGTAACCCTAGACTTGAAACCCTCAACCGAAGTCCTATACCCTAAGATACCCTAAGCCTAATGTAGAGCGGCCCTTCATGCAGCGCGGCAGGGATCCGAAAGCAAAGTGCCTCAAAAGTCCTGGGTCTTGAAATGTTCCCGGTCGTAGAGTTTAGGGTTAAGGGCTTAGGGTCGAGGATGTTAGTGTATAGGGTTTGGGTTAGAGTTTATGGCTTGCGGCATGAGAGTAGTTCAGGTCAGGGTTGAGGGGCCTATAGTGCTTGCAGGCCTACGTAGGGGCTTACCAGCCAAAACATAAACCAGGAAAAAGGGGCACCGCGAATCCTAGCTTAAAACAAAACTCTACCAACCCCTTGCTCTCCCCTCTCTGGGGCGGCGTACTGGATGGGATTGCAGTCGTCATGTCCGGCTTGCTCGAAATGCCTTTCGTGCCTTGCGTTCAAGCTACATGTAGACCCCTGATTAAAACCTCCTTCCTTCAAATAAATGTCAATAGGGTTTACAAACGGGATCTTCTTACAAAACAAGGGTCTACAATGGCAGCAACGATAATGTAAACCCCGAGGCAACCCTAAACACAAATTGCCAAACCCAAGCTCACAACCCTAAACCTAACCACAACCCTAAATCCCCAAACCCCAGAACAACCGCTTCCCGAGGTGTCGACACAGGGTTTTACAAAGGTCTGATGAGGGATGTTGAATGGTTGCAGAAGGATTCTACAAGGGTTTGGTGAACGACTGTTCAGGGCAATACGGGATGTTTAAGGGCTGCAGAAGGGTTGCATAAGGGTTCGATCAAAAGACTGTTATGGCGTAAGGGTGTCTTTAGGGTTTGGGGTTTAGTAACAAGGCAGTGTCTACGGCTTATAGAGCGTTTGAAGTACTTTCGGGTTCAGGGTTCTCAATGCTGCTCCATCTCCGCAGTTTGCCGCGCCGAGCGCTACGCCTTACGCTGAAGAAGAATTCTGACGCTTACGCGGGGAATCTGTAACTCCAAGCCGAGGCATGAAATCGGAAGTGGGAATTGGGCCGCTTGGGGTGTAGGGTTGGTCTATACGTTTTGGTTGCTGTTGCCTCTCCCGTCCCTTATCTGTAATTTGGAGACTGATCTCTGTCACGTCTGCTGTACAAGAAGGCGCGCCGTTTTTCAAATGCACGTTTTGGAGTATTTGTGTTGATTCTAGGGCACTCTTCGAACTGCAGAGCGTCTCGGTTTCGTGTTCGGGGCTTAGGACTCCACTTAGGATCGACTCAGTGGACCAGGAAAGCCATCGCGTTTTGTGTCTTGGTTGTATGGGGGAAGGATTTGGGCAGTTCTGTATATTGGGATGCATTTCCGTCTGCCGTACTCTGCTGCGGATCCGAGAAGCGGATCGGCAGAAACGCCTAGACGATGCCGTGAAGGTGCCAATAAATTTGGGGTATAAGGACTCCCTAAACGGAGGCTTCCAGAAGATCTTAGTTGAACAAAATGAGGTCTTCAGTTTACAAGACTGCATGTCGGATGATCAGAAGTTAAGCCAAATTGACGGCGAGGGTCGATCTTAAGAAGCACTTTTTCGTATCAGTTCAGAACGGTAGAACCTTCAACCGGGGAATTAAAAACCCTGTGATGCAAAAGTCAAATCTTCCCTGGAAGGCTATAAAACTGGATGGTAGGCTGTGTAAGACTTCTAGAAAGGGCGTGTCTCTGATTCTACAAAGTGGGTTTTTGTTCCACAACAAACAAAGAAGTTGTTTCGGAGATCAATTTGAAAAGTTGTCGAGCTCGTTTTTGCTGGCAGGCTTCTTCAGTGCGTTAGCACCTTCGTGAGCTGTTCTCATTAAGGATTTTCGAGCTCTTAGGGCTTTTTGTGCAAAACCAGAACATCGAGCGAAACTATGGCAAGATGAATGTTTTCAGTTTTCAGAGTGCAACGCATGCGAAACCAGTAGAAAAGCCACCTTTGCAAAGTAGATTGCCTAAAACAGACTCGAAAGCTGACATTTGTGAAATCCACCTTTGTTTTGTGAGACTTGTTAAACTGTAGGCCATCCTCGTTCCTACGTCCTGAATCTTTCACACTAAACACCTAACCCTGATCTGTGAACTCCAAAAGCAGGGGGAGCCTTGCTTGCACGGCGTCGAGACCCATGTGTATGCCATTGAGGAACATGGTACCTTCGGGAGAGCCACTTGACAATTTGAGCTTTGGGATCGCTCAACACCGAATTCTGAACACTGGGATCAGGGCTTGGGGAGTGCTTTCCACGCTTCCTGTTTTGGATTGTATTGGCTGTGGTCCTACCAGTGGTCTTCTACTTGTCTCTTTCATTGTTCAAAGTCGCACTATCACTACCAAAGTCGTTGCTATTGTTTGCTGGTGTCTGGGTAAGTCTGAGAAAGCAAACCCACCGCAGCCCCTTCAGACCACAAGCAAAACCCCAAAGCCAACGCGCTAGGCCTCCACCCTAAGCCTTCGACCCTGCACGCTGAAGCGCAAACAAGCACGACCCCCAAAAATCCCTAAACCCAACCAAACTATCGGGAGTTGGGTTTAGGAACTTAGGGTCTAGGGAAGGGCATAGTGTTTGAGTCAACAAAATGCATCGTACCTTAGTCTAGGTTCACATGCTTCAAGACAGGGCCCCCACCGAAAAGATTCATCGTGGCGCCCGGCTCAAACTGGAAGCCCGCGCCCAGTGGAGCTGCCTCGAAGAGAGACTGTTTCTGTGGCATCAATATGGTTCAGGTTAAGCTAGTTAAACCTAGGGTGAAAAGGCTGAAGGGTTCAGGGTTTTCTTGCCACCCGACTAGCCACAGCTCTGCGGGGTCCACATTGCGAAAATAGGGGAGAAAGCCCGTCTGACTCGACGTACAGCGGGTCGCCAAAGGCCAAGCGCAATATGTTCGGACATCAGAGGACATTCGTATGAGCTCACAGTAGGGAACCACATCTGCGCCAACAAAACAGATGGGGTTTAGGGGTTTGGGGTTTCTAGGTTTCGGGTTTGGGTAGCAGGCTTACCAAATACTCCACCAGTGTAGTTACAAGACCAAAAAAACAGCTTTGGTGAACATCATAACCACCAGAACATCGCGCCCGCGCACCTCCAGACAAAGAGCCCGGGCAACCCGCCGCCTTTTGAAAATTCCGGAACCCAGCGACAACCGCAAAGGGTGGTCGTTTATGAAAAAACGCCCAACAAAAACAAATGTTTGCGGACGTGCAAACACCGGAAACATCGCACCTGCGAAAGTTTCGGGCACCTCAAGAAGAAGCGCGGGCATCTCCACCGTGGTAGTAGCAGAAGTCGTCGTCGTCGTAGTAGTAGTAATAGTAGTAGTAATAGTAGTAGTACCCTAGTAGTAGTAGTAGTAGTAGTAGTAGTAGTAGTAGTAGTAGTAGTAGTAGTAGTAGTAGTAGTAGTAGTAGTAGTAGTAGTAGTAGTAGTAGGACGACGACGACCACCACTACCACTAACACTCCTCTACTGCTCCTGCTACTACTGCTGCTGCTACTACTGCTGCTGCCGCTGCTGCTCCTACTCCATAATCCCCATACTCCTACTCCTACTCCGACGACGACGACTCCGACGACTACTACTACTTCGCTCCTCCTACTCTTACTAGTCCTGCTGTTGTGACAGCCTGAAACCCATAACGGCTCAAGACCGACCTCAACATCGGGGATTCCATCGGCGTAGCCAGCCACCATATCCTCCCGCTTTGGAACCGTCAAACCACAAGGTACGAGGTCCAAACCCCCAAGACCCTCCGAGTCGGGTTTGGGTCGAAGCCCCCCAATGTTCCGTAAATAAGCCCTACAAAGTAAGCTCCTGTGCGGCCCTGACGCTTTGTGACCGACATGTCAAGACACGTAACAATTTCCGGAAAGAAGGCGCCGAGGGATAACTGCAGTTCAAAGAACCTGCCTATTCGATGGTATACATATATATACATATATCTGCTTTGTCTGGAAAGCATAATAAAGAACACTATAAGTGTGTTTTTCGGCTACAGGTAGTATTGAATCAAGGGGCATTGGGCTTGCTGGGGTGCGAGGCCTGCCGAATCTAGATTCGACCTAGATCGCAGTTAGGTGCAGGGTCTAGGGCTTAGAGTTGTTTTGTGATGTTGATCCTGCTTTTTTCCAGGGTTTTGAAGGAGTTTAGGTGGGTCAGAGTCTCAGAAGTGGAACATGGAGCGGCCCTATGAGAAGCTCCAAAATGGAACGGGAAATTCCTCACCTCTGCATGAGGACACCGAAGGTTCGGAAAAGCGTCCATGGGAACCTCTCCAAAAAGAGCTGCGGTTCAGGTCTTGACAAGGTTGAAGGGTGCGGCACTTTAACATTGGCCGCTGCTGCACGCTGCGGATGTATGTGCATTCCTCTTCTGGGTTCTGGTCGCACCGTCTATCTCAAGTCTCAAGAGCGGCGACGCAATGGAGAAGCTCGAAGTCTCAGAGGTCCAGTGCTGGGTGCTGGGATTGTGGGGGCCAAAATGAGGGCCCTCGAGGGTTGTGCACGGGATTTATAAGGGGTTGAAATGCCATTAGCTGCTCT